TACAGGTCCAGAATCACAATGGTACTCAAGTTGTCCCTCAAGACAATACAGGAGCCAATCTGGGGTGATGCGGTGACTGGACAATAGATCACTTAGTGAAAAGTTACTCTCTCATCAGTTTCTTTAGATCCTTTTGAACACATCGACGGGAAAGTTTGTATTCGGTCCTAACTTTCTAACACTAGCTGGCTTAGGCTGGGTTCTCTAGAAGAGCAAACCCAGTGTATTTATGTATACAGGAGAGATTTATTTCGAGGAAATGGCTCACACAGTTGTGGAGGCTGGCAAGTCCCAAATCCATGAGTCAGGCACCAGGCTGGGGGCTTCTCCTGACTCAAGTGGTTGCAGAGGCTGATGAACCCAAAATCTGTATGTCAGGCGGCAGGCTGCTGGCTCACAGGGTTGCAGGAGCGGGAGAATCCAAAATCTGCAGGTCAGGCAGCAGGCTGAAAGTGTCTCACGTCCTAAGAACCAGAGACTGGGAGAGCGTGAGCTTCGTCAGAACATCCAAATATATTGGATACAGGCCACACCCCCAAGGAAACACCCCTTCCAACTGATTGGCTGTTCACATCAGATCACAAAATGGAGGATGATTACATAATGTCTACCAAACCACTAGGAATCATGGCCTAGCCATGTTGACACATAAAATTAACCATCACACTGGCTAATTTCATTTTTTAACAAAGTAGGCCTCAGTCTTGGAACTCAAATTTAATAATACAGTTTTGTTTCTATTGTACTTATTTTTAAAGTTACCTCCTATGGTGGTACAGTGGTTAAAGTGCTCATCTGCTAACCAAAAGTTCAGCAGTTCAAACCCACCAGCCACTCCACAGCAGAAAGATGTGGCAGTCTGCTTCCGTAAAGATTTACAGCCTTGGAAACCCTATGGGGGCAGTTCTACTCTGTCTTATAGGATCACTATGAATCAGATTTGACTCAACAGCAATGGGTTTAGTTTTGGTTTTTATGAATTGCAATCTATACTGGTTTTGCATTTATGGGTGAGATACAAAATTTCCTTTGAAAAACAACCAACCAGTTGCTACTGAGTCTATTCTAATTTATGGCAACCCCACATGTTTCAGAGTAGAACTGCACTCCATAGAGTTTTCAATGGCTGTGATCTTTTGGAAGTAGAATGCCAGGCTTTTCTTCCAAGGTACCTCTGAGTGGATTCAAACTGCCAACCTTTCCACTAGTAGGCTAGCACTTAACTGTTTGCACCACCCAGGCAGTCCTTTAAAAACAAAATGAGTCAATTTAAATAAAAATCTTAAACAAAAAATAAAAAGGTGGTATAATGTTTAGTTAATAATCATTACGATGGTTTTTTGAGAGTACAAGACTGCGGCAAAAATCACAAAAGTGGTACAAGAATGATTAAAGTATGGGAAACAATAGGCAAGTTATTTAACCTCACTGAGCCTCCGTTCCTTCACTTACAAGCTAACAATAACTACCTTGCTGGGTTGTTGTCATGCTATATGCTAAGAACAAATGATCAATAGTATTCGGAAAAGGAAAAGATGTACTTGGTTATCTTGCTTCATTAATGTAGACAACTAAGAAAAGAAAATAAGGATGATTTGTAATTTAAAAAAAAAAAAACAAACTATTGATTTTTTTTTTCAAATAGGGAACCATAGTTGTTTCTTTTTCCTATGAAAAAAAAGATGAAGAGATAATATGTGCTAAGCGCTTAACATAAGGCCTGAGTCCCAATAAACATTTAATATAAAATTTTCTTTAGTATTTCAGTTTCCTCTTTCTTCCCCCATCTCCTTCCAGATCCCCAAATACTTTCTTACTTTTTTGTCTCCCCACTGAACCAGGAAGAGACCTGACAGATCACTTAGATACAAGATATCCTGATGGATACACAAGATGAATGAGCTTTTTTCCAAACTATCACCTCAACTGGACATTTGCATTTAGAGGTAGATTTATGTACTCGTTTGGTTGATTTTTACTTTTAATTATGAAAGAATTCCTTGTTCCTCATTAAAGCAATTTCAAGCTTCTGCACATAGATAGGAAGAGAAGGAGCCCCTAGGAAACACTGCATCAATATATAAGAATAGCCCCGAAGATAGACATGATACAGTGTTTTCTTAGAACTCAGAAACTTCCTCAAGGGCCTCTCCTCCTCCAGGAAGAACAAAACAGGAATTGGCCTTACTCTTGCAATCAGGGCTTATTCCTAACTGGAACTAAATGGCTTCCAGTGTCTTCCTGTAGGAGTTACCCTTGCCCTAGCACAAGTCCACCAGACAGACATCCTCTCTCCCTACCCTCCTGGACAGTCCCCGCCACCACCTAGGTCCATCCAACCTTAATCCTCTCCTTTCTGAACCTCTGTCCTGAGACTCCCAGGTACATTTTGGTACCATTTTAATTAACAGTGCATAGTATTTCCATGTGATACCCCTTCCTTCTTAGGATGCCTTCTATATTCTACCACTAAGTTGTTGGACCACATATTCTTTAATAATAGAAATAAGAATATATTATTTTATCTGCACTACATCTTCTAGAGCTGAGCCTGTGGCTATTTCAGGATTAACAGTTTGTTCCACGAGCAGGCCCAACTTTGGTTCGTTTCAGCAGCTTGCTACTCTCTCTCATTGGCTTGCCATTGCTAATAGCAGCTTGTGGCTGTGGCGTGGTACATTCCAGAGGGAAGCCAGAGGGAGTTTGCTTTGATTTGGGGCCTAGACATGCCAAGATGTTAGTGATGTAGTCCGTCCTGACAACGACGAGAACTTTTAGATGCAGTGTACCTTGACAAGTTGGATTTAGGTGAAGACAGGAGATCAAAGGATGACACACCCAAATGGTTTTTGTTAACGAGATTAATCACAATGCACAGAGACTGATCTGTTCTGTGTTTTGGTTAATTAAGGATTGTTTAGGGGGGAACTACTTTTTAGTATTAATATTGCACATGTGGATATTATTACTAACAAAGCAGTTCCACACATATTTATCTCTTCTGCTCATTTTCATTTCAGTCCTTTTAATTGAGGATATTTTATAGTGTATCAATTCATTGACTCAGCATAAAATTCACTATCCTTACCATGGCCCACCAGGCCCTGAATGATCTTGACTTCTGTCTGTTTTCCAATCTCATCTCATAGCACTTCTCTGTTACCCACTGTATTGGTCTCCTATGGGGCCCGTTAACACATTACCACAAACTGGGTGGCTTAACATAACAGAAATTTATTCTCCCACAGCTCTGGAGGGCCTAAAGTCCAAATTCAAGGTATCAGCTGTGGCACGCTCTTTCCAAGAGCTTTAGGAGAAGACTCTTCCTCCTCTTTTTCAGATTCTGGTAACCACAGGTGTTCCTTGGTTTGTGGCAGAATAACTCCAGCCTCTGCCTCTGTCTTCTTATGGCTGTCTTCCCTCTGTGTGTCTGTCTCTTCTCTTTTTATAAGGACACCAAACCCCCAAAAAACCAAACCCGTTGCTGTCGAGCTGATTCCAACTCATAGCGACCCTATGAGACAGAGTAGAACGGCCCCATAGAGTTTCCAAGGAGCGCCTGGTGGATTCGAACTGCCCCAGTCTTATTGAACTAGGACCCACCCTATTCCAGTATGACCTTGTGTTAACTAATCGCTGCGTATACTTTCACCAAAAATATAATAATTTTTTTTAAAAAAATTCAGATTCAGTAAGTAGATCATTCTGAAATTGACTCTTTCGCGTGAAAGACAGAAAAAGTTTAGATTGATTTTGATCTATGCTAAGGCATCCTGAAAGTTTTCTTTTTGAAATTAAATTTTAAAAAAATCAACACTGATTTTTAGTTCATCTTGATTTCTTATCGTATGGCATACTTGATTCTTTGTTCAAAAAACATTAGCAAAGCGCATCCACAGAAAACAAAATTGTAGTTAACTGAATAATAATAACAGTATCTTCAAAAATAAAGGCATTGGATTTGCAATGTTAATAATTTACTCTAGAGGGAAGAAAAGGCACTGTTTTACAGGCAAATGAAGCATTTGCTAAGAATTTTGTCAAAACCCAGGACGTTCGTATTTTGCCAAGAGTGTTCATATGCATCAGGAAGCACAGGAAAAGGCAAAATGATATATTCCGATGGAATTTTTGAAATAAAGATTTATCTCTGTTATGCACGCATAGCGATAGATTTACTTCATTCTTCATAATCTCTGAGGTAAAGTTCAGAAATTCAAATAACATAGCCAAGGAGTGTGAATGTGTGACCTTTAATACACAAAGGGAATACTGCGGCGATTCAGGAATGACTTAGAAGTGTCCTCTAAGCCCCGCCCAAGTTCTTGCCTTCTGTCATTTTTTGCTTTTAAATTCTCAAAGATGTTCTGAGAGACTTCGCTCAGAAGAAACGGGACAGAAGCGAACGAGTTACTGCATGTCATGATACAGAAAATTGCCTTGGGGTAGCAAAGAGGACACCACTACAAATAGACATAAATAGAACTGAACTTCTCTACATGAAATTCTGACTTTTTTCTGTGTTGGAGGGCAGTATGGGGGACGAGAGAACAGTAAAGGAACTTGCTATTAACCACAGCTGCACGTAAGTAGAAAACGCCTTGCAGGAGCGGCCGGCAAGGCCGCACTAGCCTTGCCCGCGCGGTGCCGCTGGGAGCCGCCGAGATGCAGCAGGGGCGGGTCCCAGGCGGGGTCCTCTGCGGCGGCTCCGCCCCCAGTGCCTCAGTTTCCCCCGGTGGACGTCCTCGGAGCACCGCCCCTCTGACGTCGCGAGGCGGGCGGGGCCAGGGATCGGCCGCCAGGGGGCGCAAGCTCCGGGCGGGCGCGGGGGAGGACCGTGAGCAAGGAGCCGAGGGTGGCGCTCCCGGGACTGAACGGGCCGTGCCGGCCGAGGCGGAAGCCTGGGCAGGAGGCTGGAGGCGGGGCGGCTGCGCTGAGTCAGACCGGATTGACCCGCCCGCGGCTTCTAGGGGCCGCAGTGACAGCGGGCCCGGGACTGGCGGCTGTAGCTGCGAACTGCGCCGAGGGACCGCTGAGCTGCAGAGAGCAGGTCAGGGCCAGGGCCAGGGCTGGGCGGGGAGCGCGGGGCCGCTGTGCGGGGGCCGCGGGCGGAGAGCACCCGCGCCCCGGGGGACGCGCCGCGCGAACAGGCCTGCACTGGCCCCTTCCCCGCGACAGCCGCTGCACTTGGTTGGGAGTGTCCGGGAGCACCTCCTCGGGCTCGTCTCGTCCGAGGTGAGGTCGAGCCCCTGTGAGGTCCCCTAGTTGGAGAGGCTAGGTGGCCCCAGTCAGAGGGATGCGAACGTGGGGTTTTTTAGTGTCAAGCCCAGGGCTCTTTTCACTGCACCACCCTGCCACTCAGGCAACGAGGCGGAATTTGAGAGCTGGAAGTTAGTGTTACCCCAACCCTCTTACGTTACAGATGAAGAAATTCTTTTTTGCTTGCTCAAAGTCACACATCCAGTCGGTATAGGAGTCTGTGAGTCTGTGTCAGGGAGACAGGGATGGATGGTTTCCGAAGCAAGAGGGAGACCTGTTTGGCTGGAGATGCAAGTTTGGTTATGGTGGAGTTTTACAGTTACTCACAAACTCCCTTATTCCAGTAGCAGATACTGATGTCCACCAGGCATCAATTTCTCAAAGCACTTCTCTCGAAAAGGGTGATCTCTTGAAAGGGCTGTTGATGCTGTCATCCTCACTGATGACGGATAAAGGATGATTTGGATAAAGGGATATTGGGGTTACCAGCTGGCCAGGATCTGCTGCAAATTGGGAACTATGGAGAATGTTTGGTGTATAAAGCTCAACTTTAAATGCAATTTCATTATCCCTTGTTGCCTGTCTCATTTATACAATAATGAAGGCACTCATATTCTGTCATACTGGTAACTTGCCTTTAACCACTAACCAGTTGCTGTTGAGGTGACTCCTCTTTTACTGAAGCAGATCACCAGGCCTTTCTTGTGCTGTACCACAGGGAGGGTTTGAACTGCCGACCTTTAGGTTAGTAGTCAAGCTCTTAACCGTTTGCACACCCAGGGGTCTTGACTTGTCTTCGTTGTGGTTGTCTGCCCTCGAGTCAATTCTGACTCACAGCTACCCTATAGAAAAGAGTAGAATAGCCCCATAGGGTTTCCGAGGTTGTAATCTTTACAGAAGCAGATTGCCACATCTTTCTCCTGCAGGCATCTTTTGTTGAAACACTTTCTTTTTGTAATTAGTGATGCTCTGGTATCTGGCAAGCTACCAGATTGCTGGTAACACTAATGTTTAGAGTTTAAGCATAGTTTAGCTCCTGTCATTTACATAGCTGAGTTACAGGGAGAAAGGAGGATTATTTAATCCATAGCAGTATTTTGTAAGATTGAAGTACCCAACAGCATGTTGTTATTAGGTGCCATCGAATCGATTTGGACTCATAACGACCCCTTGTGACAGAGTAGAACCGCTCCATAGGGTTTTCTAGGCTATAATCTTTACGGCAGTAGATTGCCAAATCTTTTCTCCCACAGAGCAGCTGGGTGGGTTCCAACTGCCAACCTTTTGGTTAGCAACCAAGTGCTTAACCATTGCACCATCAGTCAGTGATTTCTCAGAGTCAGTGCTGCATTTATTACTCTCCCAGCATGAATAGATTCAAGGTGGGGAGCAGGTTAGTTTGTCCCGTAGGACTTGTTTTTTCCTAAAATACTGAATGAAAAGATCTCTAGGGCCCCCTTCCATCTCTAAAGTTCCCTGATTTTACATGTTAACTTCAAACATATGTCATTAATTGTGACAACAACAACAAAAAGTTAAGAAAAAAAAAAAGTGTTCATGTATGCGAGACTGGAATGCATGCTTTGTGCACAGTGGGAATAGCCAAAGTCTGACCTGGGCATGGGGTCCGTGCAAAGCCACAGACAACTTTTGCAATAAGCCGAGAACATTCCGACTCAGAAAATGTGATAAGATGTCTATTATGCAGTGCTCACAGTGTGTGTATTTTTGGCTGAGATATAATAGTAACCTTTATAGATGCTCTGGCCAAATAAGTACAAGTTATTTATTTTGTCGTGCAGCCCCAAAGCAGAGCCTGTCCCGCTTCTTGTTTCCGTCAATCTCCTGTCTTTTCTGGTTTCTTTCTCCTCTGAATGTCTTGCTTATCTACAGAGACCCTCATCACATTCCTCTTCTCATTGACATCATAAATTCCTTCAAGCACTGATTGAACTTACACTACTTTTTTCTTCTCTCAAATCATGTTTGAACTTGATCAGTTATGATTCGTGAATCACCATTTAAGATCTCTTAAGAACTTAGGGTGGGTATTCATTTTTAGGACACAGTGTAAAACTCTGAGTGGCTCTGGTTCTGGAAAAGGGTTAAGTGGGCCAGGCTTAGATTTTTATCTTCTGACTGCTTAGAGACTGTAACATAGGAAGCTTCCAGAGCCAGTAAACTCATTTACGTCTACTTCAGATGGAAACCCTTTCAGCATGATGCATAGCGAATCTTCAAATTCATTTTAATTCTCAACCCTCCCAGTCATTTTTCAGCATTTGGCTAAAATAAGCAAAAATTGATTTTTCAAATTACAGATACTTCAGTGTGAAATTTGCTTTGGGGAATTTTTTTTTTTTATGATAAAAACACTTAAAATAGAACACAGGTGGAGGCTTGCAAGACTTATTGCCAGGGATAAAGCTTGAAATTTTCAAAGTTCGTTATTCTGTTGATTCTGAGGTCAGTTAATGTATTACCTCACTGCATGGTATCATGACAGAATTATCTGTTGTGAAATTCTCAAGTATGGATGGTCTTCTGCTAAAACATCCTAAACATTCCTTCAGCATACTTCTAAAAAGTTTCACAGCACCAGTTCAGTTTAGTATTAAATAGTTTCTTATACCCAGCTCAGGAAAACATCTGAATAAACTAATTCTCAAGACTGGATAACTTAGTCGCGTTGGTCGGGAGTTAATTATGAGGTGTAAGTCTCTTGCCTGGAAAGGCCGAAAGGTCTAAAGTAGTAGCTGTAAAATCAGATCACAGGGCAGCTTCATCATGAAAGAGCCGTTAAACAAACCAAGGTGTTAACTTTTGGTTGGGTACTTTATCCTCAGTGCCATAAAAGGCAGCCATAGGAGGTAAAATAGACATAGAGTAGCTAAAGTGCATTACTTCATTTTAGATATTTAAGGTCTTCTAACTTGAAGCACAGGGCCCCCAAGAACTGAGGCAGCACAGAAGAGCAAACAGGGCTGTGTGCTAGGAGTTTGAAGGCCCAGGTTTTAGTGCTGACTCACTCATTCAATCAACAAATAGATGCTGTAGGTGTATGTTGTTGATAGTTGACGTCGTGTCGATTCCGACTCATGGTGCTATGTGTGCAGAGTAGAACTGCTCCATAGGTTTGTTTGTTTGTTTTGTTTTTTTTTTTAATATTTTATTGTGCTGTCTGGGAAGGTTTACAGAGCAAAATAGTTTCCCCTTCAACAATTTGTACACAGAATGTCCCAAGACATTGGTTGCAGTCCCCTCCGTGTGTCGGCACTCTCCCCATTTTCACCCTGGATTCCCTGTTACCTTTGGTTCGGTTTTCCTACCCCTTCCTGCCTTCTCATCTTTGCTTTTGGCCAGCTTTTGCCCTTTTGGTCTCATGTAATTAACTCTTCTGAGGAGCTTGTTCTTCTTGAGTGTTAATTGTTTATTTTGTAGGCCTGTCTGCTTTTTGGCTGAGAGTGGTATCATGGATTGAATTGTGTCCGCCAAAAATATGTGCCAGTTTGGCTAGGCCATGATTCCCAGTATTGTGTGGCTGTCCTCCAGTTTGTGATTGATGTAATTTTCCTTCGTGTTGTAAATCCTAATCTCTGCTTGTGGTTAATGAGGCAGCACTGGGTTGTGTTGAAGAGGATTAGGGTGGGATGTAACACCCTTTATCAGATCACATCCCTGATTCAATGTAAAGGGAGTTTCCATGGGGTGTGGCCTGTACCACCTTTTACCCACAAGAGATAAAAGGAAAGGGAAGCCAGAAGAGAGTGGGGGACCTCCTACCACCAAGAAAGCAGTGCTGGGAGCAGAGTGTGTCCTTTGGACCTGGGGTTCCTGCACAGAAAATCTCCTAGTCCAGGGGAAGATTGATGACAAGGACCTTCCTCCAGAAGAAGCCTTCCCCTGGACCTGACACCCTGAATTTGGACTTCTAGCCTACTAGACTGTGACAGAATAAACTTCTGTTTGTTAAAGCCATCCACTTGTGGTATTTCTCTTACAGCAGCACTAGATGACTAAGACAGGTGGTCTCTGGGAATGGCTTCAGTTCCATGCTAGAAGGGCCGTAGTCTCGGGGGTTCCTCCAGTCTCTATTAGACCAGTTAAGTGTAGTCTTTTCCATAGGGTTTTCAAGGCTGTGATCTTTTGGAAGCAGATTGCTAGGGCTTTCTTCCCAGGTGCCTCTGGCATGAATAAAACAGACCAAAGAAACAACACCAAACCAGTTGCCATGGAGTCAGTCCTGGCTCTCATGGCAACCCCACATGGGTCAGAGTAGAACTGAGTCCCATAGGGTTTTCAATGACTGGTTTTTCAGATGTAGATTGCCAGGCCTTTCTTCCTCAGCACCTCTGGGTAGGCTTGAACTGCCAGCCTTTCGGTTCGCAGCCAAGCGCTTAACCATTTGCACCACCCAGGGACTCCAAAACAGACAAAGCCCTGTCCTAAGGGAGTAGACAGTTGGTGGGGTGCAGGCAGACAATAAATAAATATGTGAACTGATAGAAGGTCAGATGATCATTAAGTACTGTGGAGAACTTTATAAGCAGTGTAAGAGGGAAAGGAGAGTGTGTGTGTAAGGGGATTTACTTTTTATGGAGTGGTCACTGAGAGTGAGCAAGAGGCTGAGGGATGAGCAGGCGGCAAGCCGTGATGCAGAAGCATGCTTGGCGTGTGTGAGGAGCCACACGGTCGTGGTGTGGGGGCAGTGTGGCTGTGGGTGAGGGGAAGACAGCGGCAGTTGAGGGGGTGGGAGTGGGAAGGGGCAGATCAGTGCAGGCCATTGTAAAG